TACATCAGACCCACTTTACCACCATGCAGCTGGAGCAGCAAAGACGCTTCAGCCGCGCGTCAGAAGAGGCTGGAGAAAAAATAATAAATAAATGAGCAGACGATTCGTTTTGAACACTGATTTAGTTTTAATTCAAAATTACTTTAGGAATCAGATCATTTCCAGATGCAGTTTCATTATTTTCTCCTTCACTGTACAAGGCTATAAAAAGTTCACAGCAACAGCACAAACATACAAAATAGTCATTTACCAAATTCAGCCATTTTTTTCCTTCCGTTCTGAAATAAGCCGGAGCTCTGAGGTCTCCAGCCATAAACAAAGTCCGTTTATACAATCTGATTTACAGAGAGAACTTTGATCAAAGTGCATCAAACCGTGTCCTGATTTACAGTCACGTCTCTGAGGGAGGAAACATATTTACACTGTTTACAAACGCTGTAACCATGGCGACGTCAGCAATAGTAATCCGAATGTGCAAGAAGAGAGCGATAAAAAGAGGCCCCAACGTTTGCTTCAGAACCGGGTAAATATTCGCCCTCTGCGTCGTCTCCAAACATGTTCCCCGTTAAGACCTGAGAACCGGGATCCTGGTTCCAGTCAGATCCAGGAAACCGTTTGATAAAGTTTCAGCCTCGGCTGAACCCAGAAAGAACGGCTGAGCAGAGACCAAACCAGAACAAAAAAAAACAATCCATAAATAAATTCAGAACGGCTGTGAAGCCAACATGGAAGTATTCACATAATAAATAACATTTCCTCTTCACCACAGATCAGGACTTAATGCACTTCTGAAGGCATGTGGTTCAACTGTAAGGGCTGCTGCTACGGAAACCCGTTGGCATGGTAACAAGGAGGCAGCCATGTAACTGAGCAGGTTTCCGCGAGAACGAAGAAGTCCGAGAATCAGGATAAATCGTCTTCTGTGCTGACGATAGAAATCTGTGACGAGAGAAGAAACTTTCATCAGTTTAGACATTTCTACCTTAAATAATGTTAATAAAGAAGTAAATTAGTCTAATAAAATATCACTACATGCAGATTAAGATAGTGAGTGTTATACATACAGGTCATTTCATACATTTACCATCCATTACCGGTTCAGTTTGATTTTATGTAGTGAAATCTCTTCCATTATTGTTGAACACCAGAATACT